TTGTTTAGTCAGATCACTAACGTTTTTATGATTTATAATCTAGTGAACATGCACGAGATGTCATGGCAAAACATTTTGTTTAGATTTTTCAGACCGGACGACACATGCCTAAAGGTTTCTTGTCAGGTTCATATGTGTATATAGGATAGCATTAAACTAGTGATTTCAATTATTAAAAAAATATTTTAGTACATTGCTCCATATCATGCAGAGAAGACAGTTTGCTCACATGAGATTACTTATTACTTCAAGTTAATAGTCCCGTTTGTTTTTCTGCAGATTGCCCATGTCACAGTTCAGTTGCCATCTGATCTAAAGTGAAGCAAATTGAACAAACAGCAGGCACTATCTCCCTTTCCCAGCATCTTTTTCTGTACACACACACACAACACACACACACACACAACACCACACACACACACACACACACCACACACACACACACACACACACACACACACACACACACACACACACACACACACACACACACACACCACACACACACACACACACACACACACACACACACACACACACACACACACACACACACACACACACACACACACACACACACACACACACACACACACACACACACACACACACACACACACACACACACACACACACACACACACACACACACACACACATTCCACCACGGGTTGCTGCTTGTGAGGGAGGAACATGTGTATGCTAATTTAGTGGAGCGCACACTAACTATTCACAGTCCAATGAGAGAGTGCAGATAAACCAACTCATGCTCTCAATATGTCTAGTTCTGATTAGAGGACATGGAAATGAGGCGCTCAGAAGTGTGGTGAGAACATTGCAGGCATCCAGCCAGTTTCTCAGCAGTCCTGAACAGAAAGCTAACAATCCCAGTAGACAGCCAGATCAATACTGGCAGCTTGGGTAACAGCAGCTGTGTCAGGATCTCGGTGCTCTTTGCTATAAATCCACAGATGTTTAAAGTTTTTGGTGTGACAACAAGGGGACCATAAAGATCATTGGTCCAAATCTGCAGGCTAACATGACAAACTCCACTCTTCTGTAGTTTACAGCTGGGAACAAGGATAAAATGTCAGAAAGCCTGTGGCACAGCTTTGATTTTCAGTCCATGTGGAAAGGGGATACTTCAACACTTCTCAAAGGTGTCAAACAGTCATGAACAATTTGTGATATCATTTTAGTCTTTTAAAACCAAGGGATCAGTATTTGAAACAACCACTAAATCACTTGAAAGGAATGCAAGATAAATTGTTGGTAAGCCAGCTGAGATTAGACCCCTTAAAGCTCTCGTCTGTTTGCAGAGAGATTGCCTTAGGCATTGGCAGGACACTTGTATTGTGCTCAAAGAAAGACAAATTATGTGTTAAGAAAAAAAGAGAAGCATTGGGTTGCCGAGTGAAATAAGGCATTTACTGAACGAAATATAGTCCGTACAGCCTAAGGCAAGTTGTGAGTTCAAATTCTTCAGGATGAAGTCAGGATTCAAGATTTACAATGTGTGAACTCAATATGTGCTTTTTTTCTGACAAGTTAACACATTCATTTGCGAGCTAGTTCAGGCAGTCAACTCGAGCACTAATGCACATTAACACGTGACGCACCTCGTCCCTCTTACAACCAACCAAACACATTCTCCTAAACATGCCGCTCTATTTAAGCTGCCAGGTCTTCCTGCCTCTGCCTCGTTATGCTGCTGCTGCCACTGCTGTGTTCACTTGCTATTGCTACGTTCATGTTCCTGCTGCTGTGTTTCATGTTGCTGCTGCTTGCCTGCCCCACCACCACCCCAGCTCCACCCCAGCTTCCACCTGTAGGCTCGGGGGATAGTTATCTAATCATCACTCAATGTTCTTTGTAAATCTGTGGAGTGATGATGCCGAGCCTAGACGCCAAACTCAAACTATATGCTGCTTATAATAAACATATTAATAAACACGTGAGTTGTCTGACTGAACTCTTGTTGAACAGTCCAATATACTTTTTTTTAGGAAAATATATCAATTCCATAACCCGGCTGACAATATGACCTCAAACACACCTTTAAACAACATCCTTCCAAAAGTCGCCTCATTAAATCATGCTTGTTTCCACCTGATTTTCTACCCGAGGGTATTCAGGTGACGACATAATTATAGGTTATAAAACAATTCAGGATATTTTATTACGCATTTGCTCTAACTGTCTAAGTGCAAAATCCTGCCAAATAGATTTACACAATTAATTGTCAAGGATATAGCATATATATCTTTCAACAAAGACATTTATTAAACATCTACTTCATATATATTTTCCTTGTGATAATCATCAATGTAAGAAAATTGCTGATGATGATATGCTGTATCCGTGGAGACAGCAAAACATGTTGGCACAGAATTGCTTCACACAGTATAGACTGCCGAATGAGTCATTTTCTAGGGTATATGCAAATGGAGGATACAAGCAGTGACATTAAAGCCATAATTCATAGAAATGACTCCAAGCATGAAACATTTTTACAGGTGTGTTTGTTATCTTTGCTAACACTAAATTGCATGCTTACTTCTGTCAAACTAAACAGTGTGCATCTGTTATTCTCCCATTCTGGTCGCCTTAATGGGGAAATCTAACATTTCCTATGATGTTTCCCATTCATTCAATTACTCCTGGAATATATAAATAAACCTTAAATGCACACAGAGTAATCTATTCCAATATTACTAATTTTCCAAAAACTACTAGTGTCAAGTAAACTCTGCAATTTGGTTGTCAGGCATAATGATTTTTGTTGCTTGCTACAAAGCAAAGGTGTCACATGACACATGGGAATGCCAAGGCACCCGAGTGCCAGAGGCTGTGAGAAGCAAATCGTAAATTCTGAAAAGGCATAAATGCAACAAAGGATAAAGTGCAACTCTCCACACCTCCTGTCAAGCCTCCCAACCCCCTCCCCCCCAATATTCTGTCACCCCTTCACCACACAAATTCAGCCAAATTTATCGTGGCAGGTGACTCTGGACTGCAGCTATAGGTTATGGACTGATGTGCTACAGTTCAGTGTATTGCATTACCCTCTGTATGTGTTACAAAATAAATGCATTTTTATTCAAAAGAAACTAGATACTCTGTCCTTGAAGGTTGAGAATGTAATTAGTTGCACACAATACACTGTCTAAAGCAACTGTAAATCCACAGCTTCATAAATCTTACAAGACACCAACAACATTTTTACATTCATGCGTTCAAGAGGGCTACAGAGGGGGAAACCAATGCCATGGAGTCAGACATCTGGTGGTAATATGTCCAATAGTACCTTCATGTGGTGTGAGGCTATGTCTGTGCTGTTTCACTTTTATCCTGCACTGTGGTGTATTCTCCATGCTGAACAGGGCAGTTTCCAGCATTGTAGACAAGAGAGCAAAATGAAGGATTGGTTACATTACTCAAAACTCAAGATAAAACATATGCAGTGACCAAATGATCAAAATAAATGCCACTTTAGATAATCAGTATTCGTTGTGGTACAAAAGAGGCTGTTCAGAATAATAACAGCGACCTTGTCTCATTCCAAATTTCCAATTAACAAATGAATGACGGGGTTCATTTAAGGTTTTATGGTGTGAGGCTCCACTGCCAGTCTTCATTAGTGCTGATTAGTGCTGCTGCCATGGCTGGCCTCTCACTGCGTCAGAAGGTGTGGGTGATTCCTGATTGTTCCTCCTATTCATACTGTCGCACACTAACAGTCAGCTATATATCATTATCCTGGCATTCAAAACTTGGGCGTTGTTACAGCAAGACAATACCATCTCATTTAACAGTTATTTCAGGTAACTTTAAAAAGAAAAAAGTTAAAACAAAGTCAAAACTTCCACATGGTCCTGTTAAAGATTGGTCACCTTGAAGTGTACATTGAAGACTGCCACATATGGTGAGAGTGAAACTCAATTTAGTGGTAGGAGTGAAATCGATACCCAACCTTGGATCCAGCATCCCCTTCAGTAGTGCCAGTTGACTTCAAACCAAAAAAAGAAATCTCCTTTCTGTCTGTGTTGTGGAAACAGATGGCTCGAATAACTCCAGACAGATGCAAAACACAAGCTCGCAGTTAACCAGTGCTTTGTGAGGAATGTATTTCCATCGTGACCGTGCTGATGCTGGTAGACAGAGCTAGGGATTGTTGTGAGGAAATGATGTGTGCAAATGCCTTGTCAGCGGTGAAGGGATGCTGATGCAAAGACCTTCTGAGTTTGTTCCCACCGTGGAAGACACAACCACTGACGCAGCTGGATTATACTTACAGTGATGCAGATCTGCCACTATGGCAGCCATGCGCACAGGCATAATTGGAATAGCTATTCAACTGATTTCCAAAACCAGACTGTGGCATAAAATATGTTTTCGTTTATTTGGTGTTGTTTGAAACGGTTCTGGGAATTGTAATGTAAGTTTCAGTTGCTACTCTAAGGTTTTTTCATCATAGAAAGATGAGCTCTCCATTAAGATTGTGTTGGCAATTGTATAGAATTGCCATCTGTCATCACATCAAATTGTTCAACAGTCACACAGCCTCTTATTCAACAAGCAGCAGTAGTACCATTTATGCTTAGGTTGCCTATAATAAATCTCCACTTGTGCAACTTTAAGTCATGACTAAGCCAAAATGTGTCGCACATAAAAACAGGGTGCCTTCAGCTCAAGAGGGGTGTGCTGCTCTCTGGAGGTGTGAGGCCTGTCCTGTAATTACCACTTCATCAGTGAAGTCTAAAGGCCGCTACACACCAACCTGAGACCAAAGAACGCGTACCGAAGGCGTCCCGACTTTTACGTCCGCTACGTCGCCTGCGTCGGCTACGCCGCCCGCCTACGCCGCCCGCCTACGAACACACCGCAAAGACTTCAGTCGACGAGTGGCAATAACTGTCCTTTCCAGCAGGCAGCGGTAGTGTGTATTCGTCATTCAAAAGAGGCAACAGCCAATCAGAGTGATTTCTTTGGCCGACTTTCTTTGGCCGATTCAACATCAGCCGCGGGAGGTGTGAAAATGTACCGTAAAGCAACAACGGTGCGGGACACACCAACCTGAGTAGGGCGCCGCGAATGCCCGACTGCCTCTGATGGCCTCTGACTCCCAAAATCAGGTAGGTATGTCAGAGCATTAAAGGTCGATTTTCGGCGTCGATAGATCGGCGATGAGCGTCGTGTCGCCCTACTCAGATTGGTGTGTACTGCACCGCTGTGTCTTTTCGGCCGTGCCGACACCTTCCGCCGCCGATTCGACATGTTGTATTGGGAGGCCGTCGGCCAAAGTAATCACTCTGATTGGCTGTTCAGCTTAGCAAATCTGTGCATGAGAAGCGAAACGGAAGTGAGGGACCCAAACAAACGAATAAGTAGGCACACACAGACGGCTATTCTTTTTCATTTTCATCTCACCTGGACGCAAGAGTTTATTTTTCATCATGGCGATCTGGAATGATGAAACCGAAGACCAACTTATCAGCTACATCCAGGAGAGGCCAGCTCTGTTCGACATTACAGAGAAACTGTACGCGAACCGCATAGTGAAAACCGGACTCTGGCGAGAGATTGAAGCTCTACTTGTTTTATCAGGTAAGATTCTCTTTTTTTTTCATCATTTGAGCTCTTTAGCAGAAACTGTTGGTTTGTTATTGTTTGCCAGCGTACATTGATGTTAACGTGAAATATAATTTGATATTTCAACCTTGTGTGTTGTTGTTATTTTTTGCTAGCTGTTGCTACTGGTTTGGCACTGCATATATATATATATATATATTAGGGCCGGGACTCGATTAAAAAAATTAATCTAATTAATTAGAGGCTTTGTAATTAATTAATCGAAATTAATCGCATTTTTAATCACATATAAATATTTGACCTGAGAACAGTGAGAAGCAATTTTTTTCACATGGATTTTAGTATACCATTAGGCGCATTCACACCGCAGTACTTTTCCCACAAAGATTCATGAGAACTTAGTTCATGAGAACTCTTTGAACCTGGGGGAGGATTAGGCAAATGAAGCCGCTGACGTCACTTCTTCTTCTTCTGCTTTGGATTTACTGGCAGGCCGCAAACCACTTCACGGCGTATACTGCCGCCCAAAGTCCCCGGCCGGAAGTCCCCGGAGTTGGGGACTGGCTTCAGTAGAAGCTGCTGGGAGTCCCAGCAGCTTCTACTGAAGCCTTCCGAGTAAATCGCCAGAACGCCGACACCTCCTCATCTCCACCGCTCCCATGTTTTATTTTGTGTTTTCATAAGTTAGTCTCTCTGCGTTTCTGCGCTGGGATAATGCTAATGCTAATAATGCTAATGCGAGGATAATAAAATGGCGGCTTCACAAAACTTTTTGGGAGTTTTACGGGGCGTGGTTTGCAATCCGCCCAGCCAATCAGAAATATAGCTATTTTCTCACAAGAGAGCCGTACCCGTGGGGGTAAAAAGGGGGTAAAAAGGTTCTCATGAACTAATTTTAGTACCGGCTCTTTTTGGTGTGAACGCGATAAAAGAGGCTAACGTCCACGCTAGCTTCCACGCTAGCTGCTATATGTTTTTGCATTGAGGTGATACTTGAGGCTTGATGTGCTGCGGTGATATGCGAATTCCTTTTTGCATAATTTGCACACAACCGTGCTCTTATCGACGCTTCCATCCGTCCGTTTTTTTAAAACAACATTTCCCACTGTTGTTCACTGTGGTTTGTTGTTGTCTGAAGTCATGAACGTTAGTTGGTGCTCCAGTATAATCGGTACGCCTGAAACTCATCCAGTGAGAAACGTTCCGCGGTGCAAAAATAAGTGCGATTAAAATGCGTTAATTTTTTTAACGCGTTAATTTTTGTGTGATTAATTAATCTTAATTAACGCGTTAAAGTCCCGGCCCTAATATATATATATATATATATATATATATATATATATATATATATATATGAATTGGACATTCTTACTAGCCACAATGCTTAAATAGTTTATTTGTGTGCTTCAGAGAAAGAGCTCAAGAAAAAGTGAGATTCTCTGCGAACCCAGTACACCCGGTACAGGATAATTGCACCATCGGGTAGTTCTGGAACACTAAAGACTGGCAGACAGCAGTGGATCCTGACCAGGCTGCAGTTTCTAGAGCCCTACACAAGAAGGAATGAGTACTTCAAACCTCACCATCACGGTAACTATTTTATTTGTTGAGTCAAAATAAGTGTTTATTGCTTCTCTCATTTACAAAAACATTATTTCATTCATTTGCAGTGGTAAATATAACAATAACAGAATAATATAAATATTATTGTATTATAATTATTGATGAATTAATCACCTTAATGTGGCAGCTGGTAAAGGAGGAGCTGATTTAAATTACATTATATACTGCTGGGTAGCTTATGAAATTCACCATGGGATCAATAACGTTTTCATCTTAACCTATAATAATAGATAATACATGATAAAATATGTCTTGATTATATGTTGTATTGTTCTGAATCTTCAAAGTTACTAAAGTTATCAAATAAATGTAGCAAAGTATTACACTATTTGCCTGAATGGGAGTGCAGTACAGTACTTAAGTAAATGTACTTTGTTACTGTCTACCGCTGTTCATTGTTCAAGATTGAAATGTAAATTTGCAAGACGGTTACCGCCCCTCTATTCACATGTTGCCTTTCATACTGTGGCTCCTATCTTCCACAATCTGTCTAGAAGTATGTTTTTAGCATCTGAATAGAGCCATCACAGTTTGTCTATGTGCCTCTCACACGTGACCACACCCGAACTAATGGCACACACATTCAGGGTATTGTTTTGTTATGAATGGTTAGTAAACAGTTTTAAGAATCCATGGTATTAAATCCAACTAATTGTGAATTTATTTTAAATGTTTAAGGAACCTCCGGTGGCTGCAGAATCACCTGATGGCACCAGCAGTGAAACCTGGACCAGCACCCCTGAGGAGCCCTTCCTCTTTGAGGCTGAGTCAAGGTCCTGCACTCCCCTGGCAGAATCCAACATCTGTGGAACAGAGTCCACACCGGCACCGCTCGGAGAGGGGCCAAGCCTACTCAGTCAGTTAAGCACTCCAAGGCCTCCGGTGAAGCGCGGCAGGAAGATTCAGGATGAGTCCGCCAGTGAGGCGTCAAAAATATAGATGCACAAGATTGGCAGGACCATGGAACATTTTACTTCCACGGGTGAACATAATGACGACATCGCGGCCCATTCAAACGTGTTTGAACACAGACTGCGGCGGTTGCCACGTAATGTGCTGCCACACTTCCTGCGTGATGTGGAAAACATCTTCTTTAGGTATTTAACGGTCGTAGAAACCGGCAGATTTGTCTATGCGATGGTAAACAGCTTGCCCTGTCTTATTCTGTGGTTGGATACAGACAGACTGACTGCCCTATATGCATGCATTTACGTCTGAGTGCCCTACAGTGTGCATTTCAGAAGATAGGCTGTCTCATCAGCAACATTGATAATGAAAGAGCTGACAAACTGTGCTGTAAATTGAACTCATTCTGTCAAACATGAATATGTGTATTTAATGTGCAGAAGTTTACCAAGTCTGATGTATTTATTTTTAAATAATGGAAGGATGAATACAGCTAAAGAAACCTGAATCAAGAGTTGTTTTTTTTCACCAAAATGTTCAACATCTGGACAACCCTGTTTTACACCTTCTCAAGTAAGAAAGCCCTGACCAATCAGTATGGTTCACTAGTTCAGCCATAAACATAATCCTTCATCCACTTCCTGAATGGAAACAGTACCAGGAGAAGACATTATTAACATTTGATTGTGTTTTAGTTTTGGTTGCTTTTATTATATGGACAATAATTAAAAGAGGCATATTTGTCTTGGGCAATGCGCACCACAACATTAAGCAACTGTAATAAAAAAAAAACCTCTCTTTTTATAGTTTATTTTTTGTTAATCCTCGGCCAAACATTCTTTATCTATTCTTCTTACACACATCAGAGACGTTTGGCAGCTTTTAAATAACATCTACTGTATATGAATTAAAGTGCTAGTGTATTTATTGCCATTGCTTTACTTTTATTAAAACATTTATCATTAGAGTTCAACTTGATGGAGGCTTGACAAATGATAGCTTCAAGCATTTTAATTTAAACTTTGGCAAGCAAAAAAGTCCTTGTGATGGCGGAGGTTCAACTCCTTACATTAGTTTATGGCAGTACAATTAAACCCAACCCATTAGTGAATCAGCAGCCAGTCAAGAGACATAAACAAATAAAAGCAGCTTTTTATATCCTCTCCACTATCCATATTTTTAATTGATCAGGATATATTTTTAATGTAAATGTTATGCAAATATCTAGTGATATTCTTCTAGTGAGTGAAGGGCCTTCAAGTAACAGACATCAGGACAAAAATAGATACATATGAAAAGTGTTTTTTTCCCCTTTACATTATATTATATATTTGATACGTCTGAGATCCAGATGTGGAAACCAGGAAAAAGACATTGCCTGTAAAAAGTTTAAGTGAAAGTGGCGTGAAAAGAGAATAATAAAACATCAAAGAGTGGGCGGTGTGGTGCCATTTGATTTTTAACCTCTGAAGACCTGCCTCAGCACAGAATGACCCTTGATCCGTAATATCCTCAGATTCCCAGATCCGTGTGCTTTCACTCCGGCCCACGCATGTCACAACCCCATATTTATGGACCATGTCTTATCACAGTGTCCACCTGTTCTTTTACTTCTCTCTGCTAAAAAGTTTAAATTCTTGTCATAAATCCTCGCATTTGAAGTTTCTTCACGTTTAGGTGAATGCAACAAACTACCAAAGACTGAGTCACATACCCAGTCGTAACCACAAAACATAACGCACTACCAGACGCTGTGAAGCTGAAACAAATATACTACTTATAGGTTTTTTCTATTGTCATCTACTGAAAGAGTACATGGAGTACTTGTTTGCACAAGGGCAAGATAAATATTCAGATACAGACCCAAAGGACTCAAAGCAGCAAGGAATAACCCAGAAAAAATAAAAATAAAGACAACATGCTTATTAACACCTCTCACAGTAAATAACAGGGCGAGTATGAATTAACATTTTATGAAGAGTTTTTTTAATGAGTTAAGATCAAATATTTGGAAATGTTAGATTTAAAAGAGGAAGAGATATCATACATGCCTCAAACAGGCACGTGCAATAACTGTCTCACATGCCTGAGAAGGTCTGCTGGGTTGGCCTATGTTTCTGATGACAGTGTGTGTGTGGTTACTGCCTGGCCTCTGACCTAAACCACATGATGCAGTCCACAGATCATTAGCACTCATTCATTCACTCTATCTCCACCAGGCTGTATGTCACTGTTGCCATCTATTGGATACATGAGTTCATATCCCTGCATGTGCAACTCCCATGGAACATATGTCATGCTGGTTTTAGCTTAATCTTATATTTACAATGGTAGTGTGGGTAAAGTTGTACATGATAGTTGTAATGTACATTCAAAGTATCCGTCTTCATCGGTACTTCTGTTTCTTATAGGACTAAGTAGAAACATATTCACTTTAAATTATATACAAAAGCCCTTTTTACTTAGTATATCTTAGAGGCAGCCATTCACGTGTGTTTTCTGTTAGCATCTTGTGGGGAGTAAATCAGCTGTAAATCCTATAATCTTCATCATCCATCATAAGGATGAGTCCATGTCACAGAGGAGAATCAAAACCTCAGCAAACAGCACGAGTTTGCACCAAAGCTCATCTTTATCCATGCATACTGGTAAATACACTGTATTCATTATAAACGTTGATGTATTTTCAAAAGAAGGTCAGAACTTCTGCTTTCAGCAACACAACCAACCCACCGCAGAGGAGTCTTTTGAGCAGCAAATAGTTGCAATTACTCAGAAGGAGAAGATGTAAAAAGGGAATAAAGTTACAGGCGTAAAGGAAAGGATTGCAGGGAGGGGCATATCTGAGCCTTGTGGACTCAAAGCGACAACTTGTCACTAAAAATAGAAAATGTAATATTTTATTTATTATATACTCACACTCGCACATGCACAAACACACGCGGAAACGCATACACCAAAATCTCTATGTATTAGTCCTACTGAGAATTCACGTACTGGACTGTGTGTGTGTGTGTGTGTGTGTGTGTGTGTGTGTGTGTGTGTGTGTGTGTGTGTGTGTGTGTGTGTGTGTGTGTGCGTGCGTGTGTGTGATCTTTTGACTGAGAGATAGAGATTGTGCCTACATGAATTTGGAAAGTGCACACCTTGCTCTGTCAGAGTGAAGAGCTCTGCCTTGCAAAGTCTTAGAAGAGATTTAGTCTCAGGTAGCAAATAATAGCTGGTGACATTATCACTTATATCAGCAGGCTGCCCTCATGCCAGCGACGTGCAGTCAGGGGAGGCAGGGGAGGCAGAGCCTCACCTGTCATACTCATAGACTGGCCATACTACAATGTAACGGAAAAACAACTAAAGAAAAACTAAATAGTAATAATAATAAAATGTCTCCACTGATCTGTGTTGTAAATGTGATTTATGTATGATTCCAATCGCTTTTTATAGTCAAAATCAGCAAATTTGCCGAGCTCCGCTACAACTACATGGGAGAGATGAGGAGTGAGGCAGGGACGAGCTCTGCCTCACGTAAGCCCACAGTAACTGGCTGGAGCGCGGGCACTAATTTAGCGCGGGCACTTATTTTGTGAGCGCGCTCAAGCCAGTTACTGTGTGGTAAGGTGAGGCACAGATGAGCTCTGCCTCACCTCAGAATGCGTCACCCCACAGAAACTGGCTGGAAAGCGGGCACTAAGTGCATGCCTGTTACCATCTCACTGTAGGTCACCAATGTAATGTTTGTAGATCCCTTTATTACATTTATCCTCGCCATCCATGGTCTCTAAATAACTTATTTCACGTATATATGATATTTAGGCTCGCCGTACAACGGCAATGAAAAAAGCACCAGGTTAGGCAGCCATAACCTCTGCCGCACTGAAGGGGGCGCACGTGAGCCCACAGGTCCTTGTTGCTACTGTTATTCTACGCAGAGACGGTAAAGACGCGAACAACAACTAGACTTTTGAAACTAGAGGAAGATAAGGAGGACTTGAGGAGATTGTTGTCCAGAAGGATAGAATATGGACTTCATCTTCAAGTCAAGGTAATACCACATTGGTAATGAACATGGGATCTTACTAAGAAAGAACAATCCAATATTTAGATTGTGGGTATCCTTTTGTTGAACGGTCTGTTTAAAATGAATCGAAACATCAGACCCAAAAAGCTTTTGAAAATAACAGAATATTTCGATTAAGGTCAGAATATAATATTTGTAAATCTGACCCTGAAAGAGTCAGTGCCTCACCAGCCATGAACCTCACCGCACGTCACTGCCTCATGCATATCACTGTATTATTTGTGGGCTGCCAAATGGAACTTTTGTGTGCAAACATGCAGCATGCCACATTTAGTATATAGCAGAAAAGTGAGATAAACCCACACACATTTTTACATTTCGGTGGTTATTACAGATAATGTATGTTTCTACAAGGTGACATTATAATAAAAAATAGCAAAAATAAGATGCATTTGAAATGTTTTGTATGTGTCAGACTCCATCTACTGTAGTGTTGTATTTTGATTTCAACCCAGGCAGCATCTTTCAAAAATAATGACGTTCCTAGTCAAATATACTGCATGCATACAGCAGGGTTGGAGTTCATAGACATGACATGTACCAAGGCTTTTCTGCGCTGCACTATTTGTACAGCTGAAAACAGCTGCATGCAGCATTTAGAAACAACATTGATGAAAGTGGGGAAAGCAAACCAATACACCAAGGCCATAAAACCAACCTACTTCATATACACACGCATTCATTTGAATAATTACTGATGTTAAAATATTGATTATAAATAATGATATACCTTATACTATTGATAATGTGTGCCAGGCCATTGTTGGATTCAATGTTTGAAATGTATTCTAGGATACAGAGCTTTAAGCTAATGCAGCACTGCACACCTGTGTTTCCTGTGGATCATTGCTGAGGTGAACTGCATGTTAATGGTTGTGAGTTTGAGTCTCTGTTCCAGGTCCACAGGGAGTTGTTGGTTCAGGTAAATGATGGCAAAGACTTAGAGCTCTTAAACACACCATGCATGTATTACTCGGGCTGTAAAAACACACATGTTATCAATAACGTTGATTGACAGGGAGAATGTACACCATCTTTTGTGTTAAGTACTATGCATGAGCAGAGTCTGATACAAGACAGAAAAAGGTTGGGTTCAGGGTATAGAACAGCTCTGAGATACACTGAAGCCGTATGCAGCAAATGTATGAAAGGTAGAGATCAAGCTTGCTACCATCTTGTCGTCTGCAGGCAGTTTCCTGCTTGTGAATTGGAAAAACACTCAAAACATGTCAAGCACAGAGCAAATTGAATATTTTAAAATATGAAAAACATTTTAGAAAACACATTTCTTTCAATTAAAGATGAAGATTTTGTTGTCGCAGCAAAGAGTGCACCAACATTTTTTTAAATTCCTCCCGTATCACTGTTGCCTGAACTCATCTTTGAGCTTGGTTGAGTCAAACTGTCAGCTGATTACAAAATGTGGCATTTGAGACCCCTTTACAGAATTAGAAATGGTATCTTCAAGTAGCTAAATATAAACCTAAACTCAAGACTTCTAGTGTCATTGGCATCCAACACTGTAAAAGATATCACGTTTCATGCCACCCTGTGCCCGCTGTGTCTCCTTGGGAAGGAAAGCACCCTGATAGCTTGACTTAGTGCCTCTTCCATCCCATTCCAGTCATTTAATCTTGGAATAGTATCAAGATAGCGATCTCCCTTTAACCTCCACTGAGGGGACGGACA